TAACCTGGTGCAAATATATGGAAGAAGTCTATTTCAGACTCCAGTTGTCTTCTGCCGAATCTTAGACTCTGGCACAGGATTAGGAACGCTGGAAGCTCGGTCTGACCCGCCTACCTGGGCAACCCAAAAGGACAAGCTGTCCAACTCCTTAACTGACTGGCTGGCTTAAAACAGCTTAAAACAAAGGAAAACATAAAATAAAGGGAATTCAGTTAAAACACCCCAAAAATAGACTAGGCAAAATGTTATTCAGAGATACGCTGATACGCGCGAGACATCGGTAATGCTCAAGATACAACGAATCTCGGGCAGTATTCAATATTCTTATTATGTAAGAATGGAAGCTGGCGCAGTCTACAGATGCTACTGTCACCAAATGTACGTGCATCAGTCAATCACGTTTTACTAGTGATAGAAGTTGTAAATATGCACTTATGCGCGAAACAATTTTACGAATATGACTGATTCAATACTCGATAAGTACTTTGTAGGATTACTCCGCATATGAAACTTATGCACAAGTTCTCCAAGGTTTCGGATCATGCTTGATCACATGTAATACACCGCTCCCTGAAGAAAGGTTAAGTATGATCTGAAACGTTGGAGAACCTGTACGTCATAAATTTTATATGCGGAGTAATTAGGTAAAGTACTTGTCGAGTGCTGAACTAAATTCTGCATAAAAGAATCCATTTTCCTTTATAAAACATGACTGATTTATAAATCCGTTTTCGAATTTTTCAAAAACAAACGTATTGATAACATGAGTACCGTTTTAAATCTATTTTGAAATTTCTAAAGGATTCTCTCTAGTCCTTGCATCGGATGCTTTCGAAATATATTTTGTCTCATTCAACAAGATCTGATAAGTCTGTATTGATGCGAGAACTGAAACTTGTGATTCAGTCAATGGCTTAAACTTTGAAGGTCGAGGAACGGGAAAGATGGAATATGATGGAATCGATTCCTTCACGTTTAATCATACATACAGATATTCATCTACATTAACCTTCTATCCATCAATCCGTTTTGTCTTCATTTCTAATTTCTGTCTAATTAATGACGTTTGTTTCTTCTAGTGTATTATATGTATATCGTTATACCAGTGACGGTCAGTGAATGCTAAAATATTAGCCCATGCTAGTTTGCTTGGTGTTCCCACTATCTTTTAGTTTGAACGAAGAGTTATCTAGAATTTCGCATCACCCAATGTACTTTCATATAAAATATTCAATTTTAAATTTAAAGGAAATTTCAAATTCAAGAATTTCAAATTTGCTGTAAAACGTCCATTTTGACTACTGATCATATGTTCTTAGTGCTGCATCACTGAAGACAAAAGAATTATTCACAATTCGTGTTGATTTTCAGACTCCTTGAAAGAACCTGATGTTCAACATGGAGGTGACGATATAACTCGCATGCAACAACAGCAAAGGCAGCCTGAAAAACAAAGATGGACGACCAACAGAGACAAATGCTGGTCATTCTGTTTTCCGTAATCGACATTATCGGAATAGCAGGCAACCTATTTACGTTGCTGTATGTGCTGTTTAAACGGCTTTTCCGAAATTTCAT